CTCCGCCAAAACAAGCTCCAGTGACCCCGCCAAAGAAGGGTGGAAAAGACCAAGGAAAAGGTGGAAAATCTTATTCACACCGTGGTGGAGACTGGAACCAACAGGGATACTATGGATGGGGATATAGATGATAAATCGATATGACCTCTGCATAGGTCCTGATTGAACCTGGCGATGCGAGGATGCAATCATTGCTCGAGACTTACCTCAACTTCATTTCAAATGATTTCTGAGAGGACTCTGAGCCGGCTAATCTAGAACCACACATTTTTGTTTGAACATCATTGCATGAGACGCTGAGTTTCTACAGCGGTCTACATCTCAACCGACGAAGGAACGGGAAGGTAAACTTCTAGTTCCATAGTCAACTTTGTGTTTCGATTTTAATTCACATGCTTGAGTGGGATTCCATGCTGGCTACGCCACACTGGATGAACCTCAATGCTAGACACCGACTACGTCGTGTCTACATGCACGTGAACAGAACCTTTTATCTTTTGGTAGAGATCGTAGCAAGCCGCCATGTAGACTTGAAGTTCTGAACGGACTTTAGCTCTCCATAATTCAATAAATGAACAGCTGCGAGTGTAGTGGATCAATTTAATGGACACTCCTTTGCGCGTAACCAACGAAGTTGGTTATGCGTGGGGGGTGCGAATAGAGTGTAGGCTACGGACCACTGTATAATATCACATCATTCAACACTCTGACATCCACAGCCAAAGGGTTTGACAATCGCCCTTTTGGCTCAAGACCCACTGCAGCACCAGAACAAAGAACTGCCATGCGGAAGCTGTTGCCCGTGTAACGTCATCATCAAAGCATTTACTTCAAATCCAACTACCAGAACATAATCGGACAGGCAATCACCGATTCGCACATACACACACACACATCATACACCTACATGGGCACATGCAGACTCCAACATGTTGAACACTTTTTTATTGTTGCGCCCAGAGACATGTGTTTTCAGAACTAGGGGTGTGTAAAGAGCTTGGGGCACTTAGGGGCTCTGAGAGATGTCCATGCGCAACCTGAACACCTGCAGCGGAGCCAGGCTGCAATTGCTCCGCTTCCAAGTTGACAAGAGCTTACAAGCTCTGGCTCAGGACGAAATGGCGGGATGATTCATGGTTAGCACGGGGGGTACATGGTATAAGTTGGTGCAACCCTTTTTGATCCATTTTGCATGTCATGCATAGATGCATAATCACAGACGCGCACATTTGTATAGACATATATGGTCCCGCGTTCCCACCCCCCCATGGGACGGGTCCCCAGGTAGCACCCCCTTCCCTTGTATTTGCAAGCTATTGGCAGCATTTCTGAGGTCACTAGGTACATGCTACCTTTTAGACAACCTACGTAGCACACATACTCCCTCAAAGTACCTACGTGCTACCTATAGTGTCATATATACATGTGCTATGTGTCTATTTCCTTTTCTCTACACATATATATATATATGTACATATGAATATACATATAGATATATACATATAAAAATATAAGCGCGCACATATATATCTATATATAAATAAACACACACACACATATATATATATATTTACATATTCACACACACATATGTGTATATATAAATATATATATACACATATGTATATATATATATACATCTACATATGCATATATATATATACACATGTACATATGTACAAATTAAAAAATACATATTGAATTATACATATACATTTAACAACTTACATATATATATATACATACATGTACTTATATATATATATATATTTAAATATATATATATATATGGTCCACGTTCCAACCCCCCCGAGAGTACCACACCCCCACCACACCACAAGGGGGGAGGGGGACAGTACCACACCCCCATCACACCAAAGGGGGGAGGGGGACTGTTATATACATACAGGCATACATACATACACAGGCAGACATACAAACATTTCATACACACACAGAGGCACACACTTGGATACACAAGGGAGAGGATGAAATGAGATGAGATGAAGTCATCTAATGTCATGTTATCATGTTAGCATGTCATGTTTGCATGGGTGGTTTATGGCTTAGCCACCTGGCCATGTCCGAAGGTGGAAGGTCGCAGGTACGTTTGCAGCTCTCATCATTGGCCTCTTCGTTGGCCATCCACCAATGATGAGAGGGATGGCCCCCTGCTGATACCCTTTGATTCAGGGCTTTCCACACACAGCAAGCCGCTGGGGCACCATTTTTCGAACCAGAAAATGGTCCTTAATCTAGTGTGCTGTTTTCCACAGTGTTGTGTTGTGACATGGAACATGGTGCTCAAATGTCTGTGACATTGTGCTGCTTGCCCCAACATAAAACCAAGGGAAGTTTCACGGCGTTCAGCGCGAGTTCCACGGAAAAGGCCGATAACAGCAAACCACTGCATCACAATTTCCGGCTGTTCAGCAAGCAACCAACGACCGACAGAGAAGGCTGGTAACGGCATGGTGCTGTTTCCCTCGTTGCTGGGTTGTAACATGAACATGGCGCTCAAATCGCTGTGTACATGGGTCGTGGGTGTCACCAATGAGGTGTGGTGTTTTGCTTGCTCCAACATAAAACCAAGGGAGTTTTACGGCGTTCAGCGCGAGTTCCACTGAAGAAGGTTGAGAAAAGCAAACCATTGCATCAGAATTTCCGGCTGTTCAGCAAGCAACCAACGACCGACAAAAAAGGCTGGTAACGGCATGGTGCTGTTTCCCTCAGTGCTGGGTTGTGACATGGAACGTGGTGCCCAAATCTCTGTGTACATGGGTCGTGGATGTCACCAATGAGGTCTGGTGTTTTGCTTGCTCCAACAAAAACCCAAGGAAGTTTCACGGCGTTCAGTTCAATTTCCACTGAAGACGGCTGACAAAAGCAAACCATTGCATCAGAATGTTCAGCAAGCAACCAACGACCGACAAAAAAGGCTGGTAATGGCATGGTGCTGTTTCTCTCAGTGCTTGTTTTTGACATGATTGCTAGGTGAACATGAATCGTGGATGACACGGGGAATTCTGAGGGATGAAAAATCTGTAATTGTGGCGAATTCTGAACATGTAATCTGGCGAATTCTGAGCAATTCTGCTTCTGATGGAGAATTGTGGATGCTTGTGTGAAATCTGGATGCTTGTGCGAATTTTGCTTCTGGCAGCATCATGTCTGGTAAATTCTGAAGTAATCTGGTATCCCCGGTGGACGCACCACCAAGCTTCCCCGCACTTTATCAGAGAACCGGGTGCATGAGAAGACACACTTGGATACACCCCGAAGGGAGAGGGTGAAATGAGATGAGATGAAATCATGTAATGTCATGTTATCATGTTAGCATGTCATGTCTGCATGGGTGGCCTATGGCTTAGCCACCTGGCCATGTCCGAAGGTGGAAGGTCGCAGGTACGTTTGCAGCTCTCATCATTGGCCTCTTCGTTGGCCATCCACCAATGATGAGAGGGATGGCCCCCTGCTGATACCCTTTGATTCAGGGCTTTCCACACACACCTACCTACCTACCTACCTACCCACCCACCCACCCACCCACCCACCTACATACATACATACATGCATGCATGCATGCATACATACATACATACATACACACACACACATACACACATACATGCATACATGCATAAATGCATAGATACATACATACATACATACATACATACATGCATACATGCATACATGCATACATGCATACATGCATACATGCATACATGCATGCATGCATGCATGCATACATGCATGCATGCATGCATACATACATACATACATACAATCATACATACATGCATACATGCATACATGCATACATGCATACATGCATGCATGCATACATACAGACATACAGACATACAGACATACAGACAGACAGACAGACATACATACATACATACACACATACATGCATGCATGCATGCATACATACATGCATACATACATACATACATACATAGATACACACATACATACACACACACATACATACATACATACAGACAGACAGGCAGACAGACAGACATACATACATACCACCCATGACCAACATCCCAAACACCCCACCACCACAGGCCACAGGGGGAGGGGGGGAACCATAAGAAGCAAGACTGGCCACCCATCACTAACACCCCAAACGCCCCACCACCACAGGGCGGGGAACCATAAGAAGCAAGACTGAACACCCATCCCGTTGGGGGGGAGGGGGGGGCTGGCCGACACTGAACCATATATGCAAAGCTCGTAGGCATCTCCTTTTTATTGGGGCAAAAATTCCCATGATTGTCTTGGCACTGGTGGCAGGAAAATCCCAAAGGTATCCTTCAGCTGGAAGCTCAACGGGCGTATGCTCCTCAGATCTCTGAGATATGTATTGGGATATGACCATAAAAGGATGGGATGCAGACAGCACAATATGGCTATTTGCCCACAAGACATGGATCAACAAAACGCGGAGACGTCGAAACGGGCACGTCATCAGCATTTTGACGACTGGAAGTGGAGGAATCTGGGAACTGCCAGGCTGCGAGCGAATTCATATGCAGAGCATGCAGATCGGGGAATAATCAACTTGTTCCCCGTGGTGCTCTCAGTTGCGGATCTTTTGCTGAAATTCATTTTGTTTCCCTTTCGATGGATGGTTGTGACAGCTTGAGGTGCCCCTGGTCATCTTTGGTTCGTTGCCAAGTCTTACCACAGTTTTGTAGACTATCAGGCAACATAAACCTGCGACATGCAGATCTTTGTCTTGTTGATATCTGGTTTTGTATTTTTCAATTTCTGTTTGATGCAAAAACTACTTTGCAGCCGATTGGGCTTGGCCGGCTTGACCGCACGTGTCACGCAATTCTGAAAGGGCACCAAAGGACTCCCATTGCATTCCATTACAGCAACCGCTTGGCATGAACCAACGTTGCTGATTGGCCAAACAGAGTCAGGCTCAGATACACCGCACCACGGCATTTATCGAAAGCGCCATTGCCACCTGGTAGATGCGCGTGTTGCTTTCACAGGTCTTTAGGCGAACTGCTTTGAGGTGCGCCAGTTGCAAGCCGTAAGGGGGGTTTCCAACCAAGAGGGTTCATATGCAGGTGGAAGAAAGGGCGGAAATCTATCCAGATTGGACAGTCTCAAGCAAAGACTTCCACAGAAATAGTGGGTGACTGGAGGGTAATCAGTAATTCTGGCAAGAATCTTGGGCGATGGAGAGGGTCAATGGCCACCAGATTGCCATTGGGGCGCCAGGCATATGGCGCCAAATGGATGGGCATGGATGCACCCCAGAGGTGTCAGCAGCAGGACCCTGCCGAATCCGGGCTTTGATGGGTGCAACTGTTGGTTCATCTCACATAAAAGGCCAGATATCATAATTTAGGTGATATATTCAAGGAGGCCGATGGAGAGGAGAGACGATAATAGATGGTTATAGATGGTTATAGATGTTTATAGATGGTTATAGATGATTATAGATGATTATAGATGATTATAGATGATTATAGATGATTATAGATGATTATAGATGATTATAGATGATTATAGATGATTATAGATGATACAGTACCGGATATAGCCTTGATTGCAGGGCTGCTAACCATACCCGGGTCAATGACCTTCTGAGTAGGACAAACCACCCAGTACATCCCAGTACTCATTATGTTTCGAAGCGTCAAAGATCGACTCTGAAAGCTGAATCTGTTTGCTTTGGGAGGATTTCTGTGGTAGATCTGGCTCCAGCAGATGGGTCTGCAGAAGGCGGGTGTGTGTGTATTTTTTTGAAGAGCCTTCACATAGGAAGCTGACATAATCTGACCTTGCAAATGCCACACACGACAATACAAGACATGGGGATTCCCGCCACACTGGATGGGGAGTTCAGTTCACCTGCCGATGGGACCCGTGTCCAGGCAACATGAAAGTTGCAAAAGCTTTGTCTGATGCCTTCGCGGACACAGGGTGGGGACAGGGTGGGGCATGAGTTGCTTAGTGTTGTTGGGGTTGTCTCAAAATTTGGACCCCCAAAATCCCATAAAATTTCACTTGAACTCGTTGACTATCATCATCTTCATCTTGGGGGTGTCTCTCACTTTGAGAAGCCCTTTTGGTCGCGTCGGAGTCGCGGGTACACTGTATCCCGTTTCTCCATTTGTCAGGTTTGCTATCGTCACATCTACTGGGGTGCCTACGAAACTGGACCAAAGTGGGCTGGTTCATCCTAGCTGCTGCTAGCTGTGGCCAGAATGCTGTGGGTGATGCTGGTGTATTCTCGTGGTTCATAGAACGCGGATCTAAAGGGGATTTATCACCATCAAGATGATGAAACAAGCATTCAGGGAACATGTAAATGCAAGAGTTGAGTTCATTGCATCCAGTTTCAGAATATTTCAGAATTGTATTTGGCAGATGCAGATCGCATCCATTCTAGTGATAGAACTGTGACAGGTGGCCAGGTAGCTGTTATCAACTGAAATCCTCCGGGTGACCTCTGGGTGACCAAGGAAAGTGATCACCGAGCTCCGAAGCGCTTCTGTTGAGTTTTTTCACCTATCTGTGGAGGAGAAGCAGCTGGCAAACGAAGGCACTGGGCACTGGGGATCACTGGGGTGCATATGGATTCGCATCGAGGCACCAGAATTTTCCTACTGGATATTAAAATATATTGAATGATGTTCAATAGAAAAGGATATTTAAATATATTTAAGGGATGCTGGGGGATGGAACATGATGGAACTGCATATACATGGCTTTGCTATGCCATGGATTGATCCATTTTGCATGTGCCATGCAATGAGCAGACTTGTCATTGGACATAGCTATGTAATTAGCTATGTAATGCCATGTATACCCCCAGTATCCGAATTATATCAAGTATCCCCTAGTAATGGGATCCCAACATCTCCAAACTCCAAAGTGACATCCGGCGTTTCTGGGATCCTGGAGGTGTGTCCCTTGGCTATGGGCACAGCCCCTACTGTCGGATGGAAGAAAATGGAGCACAACTCCTGGGAGACTTTACGAAGCCCAATGATTTAGTGGAGTCCCTGACGCAACTTGGTATAACTTGGTATAACTTGGTGCTTAAGTTTGATCAAGTTTGATTAAGTTTGATTAAGTTTGATTAAGTTGAGGTTTCTTGAAGGTAAAGGTGCTGTAGGGATGAGAATGATGAGATTTGGTGTTGTGACCAAAATTTGGTGTAGGGTTTCCGATGCCATGGCACTTTAGACCTCTGTGGCCTTGCAACAAGCCTTTGACCATGCATTTTCAGGTATCGACCGCAAGAAGCTTGCCTCAATCTATAGTGGGCATTGCAAATCTGATTTGGGGTGAGATGGGCCACACCGTGGCATCTTGAAGACAAAACCTTTGCACTGCAATATTTGCAATCCTATCGTCCTACGGGACATTCCCGGAAAAGGAAGCTGATGTCTCTGTTGCACTCTGCGTTTTTCCGTTGCCAAGTTTGTTTGCCAGAGGGTACAACCAGTTAATATTCAACATTTTCTGTTTAATGCCGTTGATATCTGCATTTTGAAAGGTGAGTTGGTCATTAGTTGGACCCATCTGATATCGCGGTCAAATATCACCTCCCCGATCGCACCAGGAGGGGCTCAAGCTGGCCCAGAATCCGCGGCTGCAAGCTGCTGTTCAGGATGAAGATTGAGGGTACAACATGCTACAGCCCAATGGTATTGGGTCAAACACTGCCAATGATTGACCAATCGGTCCTCAGAAGATCCTGGAAAAATTGTACATCTTTGAAAAGCTCGAGTTGGGCCAAGGGATGCCAAGGGGCAGGTGGCTGATGTCATTTATGCATCCTGAATCCACCCATCGTGGTGGAAGGACTTCATGACATACCTGCCAGAATTCCAGAAGGCCCGTGGGGCAGGTCTTTGATTGAAGTGGCTGCATTGAATAGAGCCTTTTGGAATATTTTGGAATAAGACACAAGAAACGCATTCTTTTGCAACAAGAAACTTGAGAAAGAGCCTTCGCAACGAAGGGATGAGGATCAGAGAACATCCATTTCATGTTCATTTCTATCCATTTTATTCCGTTTCTGTATTCCTGACATGTCCCAACAATGGAGTCGGAACCGCCCCTTTTTACCAGCTCAAGACGTTGGCCAAAGAGTCCTGGGATGACCAAAATCGAAATGGCATTGGCGGAGGGTGAAACGCGGGGCCTGCTCTCTGGCGGTGAGATGGAGGATTGTCAGACTGAGTGTTTCCATCACTTTTCAGAATTGCCTTTTAGGTTCTTCCCACTTCTTTCCCCTATACACTGGCTGTCCTACTTCCATCTGCTGGCATCAGGCAACAAACACAGAACGACGGATCCAGGTGCCAGGTGCACTTCATACTTCATCGCTGTTGTGCCCTCCAGGATGTAGCCGCCGAGGCCGAGAAATTGTTGGCCTTGGATGTGCGAAAAGTCGTGTCTTGGCACCATTATATATATATATATAGTTGAGGGTTTTTGAAGACAGCGGCTCGATGTGCCCCAGGGTTGAGGGACCCTCGGTGCCCCACGAGCTATGAACACGTGGTAAAATCCGCTCACACACTGCCCAGTGCAAGAAGGTGTCATGAAAACATCTCAAAACTGGTAACTGGCCCCCTGCAGATCCCTGCAGTATCCTAGAGGCTTTTGCTTGGGCCCCTAATGAGCACATTCATGTTATGGTCAGGTTGATGTGAAGTCACAGTAAAGTCCTCCATCTCATGGCTTTTCCCAGGTATTTCACCTTGAAACTGGCTCTGTGTATGGTGGCTTGGCTGTTGATGAAAGCTTGAAAGTTGATCGACTGACAATGATTCCTTTGGCATCAGACGTTCTTTGCAGACCTTGGCTCTGGGAGCTATGCAGCTGCAATCTGATCAACATGTCAATGCTTTAGCTTTGGTTGGGATGTTTGATGTGGTCGCATTTCTTGAAGTCTCCATTCCTATTTGGGAAGATCATCCTGGTAGCTGATTGCAAAGTGAAGCTTCCTTGTTGTATTTCTTTCTTTCTTTATGACTCCTTATATATACATTATATAATATACATATACATATATATATATATATATATATGTGTATACACACACACATGTACGGTAACAGCACTATGTGGCCAATTTGTACCTTGGCAGATTGCGGGCTAAGGGACCGCCATTGCCTTTCCACAACTCGCCCGCTGCAGCAACTACAACAAAGTGCAGCCCGGCCGCAGTTGAAGATGGCGAAACGACCAATGCCACGGCTAAAAACAACGACCTCACAACAAGCCCACCGAAGATGGTGGGTTGGTGGGCCCACCAACCCAGAAAAGTGGCAATCTCAAGGTTTCGGGAAATGTGAAAATTGCCCAATGCCCGATGGATATGGGCCAAGCCAATAGGTTCAATATGGTTCAATAGGCACTGTACCATCTTGGGACCCATAATTTTTTGAGATCTCAAAGTTCTCGAACCGTAATTTTGAAAATTGGATAGGTTTGACGATTTGACCCCATGCCCCACATCCTAGCTTCCAGTTGTGTCAGTGAAGCTAATGAATGCTCCTGTTCTCGTGCTTGCTATTAGTTGCTATCAACTGGTATTTGATCTCTGCAAGTTTGCCTGGGATGAGGTATGTGGCATTGTGGATACGATCTTGGCTGGCTTTGGCCCTGAACCTCTTCTTACAGCTATCTCTTGTGCCCATGCCTCAGACCTCGAGAGGGCGGTCGATGGAACTGGCTAGGGCGCAGCATCCGACAGCAGTTGATAGAATTCACAGCAGCATAGTGCTTTCACCAAGCTGCAACTGAGGGTCTTCGTTGGAGACTTGGACCGCAGAAATCGCATGCAGTTTCTTACACGCAAAGGTTCTGGCCCTGGACCCCAAGATCTCATAGGAAAACGGCGGGCCAATTCTTCTGGTTTTGGTTTGGGTTTGGGCACCTTTATTTGAGATTTGCATGGCTTGGCATTCCCCCTCCTCACTAGAAGCCCTGGACCATCCACCATGGCACGGTATCGGGGTATTCCTGTCCTACTGAAGCAGGTGAAGCCACTCAGATCATGAACCCACTGGGTGGAATGATCCTTGCCGGAATGATTTGGGATGGCCGGTAACTATGGTAACTGCAACCTTGGAAGAGTTGATGTTTTGTTTTTTGTTTTCGGATGATTCGGGCAGATTTGAGCATCACCAATCACCAGTATGTTTATACGCCCCTTGTGATGTTGAAAGATTTGTATCCCATCGGGGCCACATGTGAAACGGCTGAGTGAGAGACTTGATGCTTCCAGTTGAGATGAGGATGCACCTTTGTGATTTCGGAGCGAATCTGGACACTTGCAAAGGGCCTGATGAAGTGGTGGATGGTTGTGTGGGACCAGGAGGCATGGGTCTTTGACGGTCTTTGTTCGTGTTGTGTCTGATTCTTTTAGTTTGTCGTTGTCGTTCTCTTGCTGTATCTCAAGAGATGAAATGAACTTGAGGATCCTGTCCCGTCCTGATCCTGTCCTTGACAGGCACCCAGTTCGCACCTCCGCGTTTGTACGGCTACACCCAGTGGGCCGTCCAGAAGTTTACAAAACAGGCGCGGCCGCAGGTCAGACTTTGAGAAGGAATCACTTCAGCAGCGTGGGATCCGCAGTGCGGAACCTTGCCTAATCATCAGCCATTCATCAGCCACTTTGGGGTCACTATAAATCATTGTAAATCACCTCCAGCAGAGGTATGCGATATTCTCAATATTTCCACATAATATCATGTCATATTTAATATATCATAATATATCATATCATATAACTACAAACTGGGGATGGTTTATGAGGGTCACCTGTTACGGTCAATGCAGCCTGCATTGGCTAGGCCCTTTTGGATGTCCTGCCCGACAAGGAGCCGGGAGTTGTGGTGGGAGCACCGTCCTGGGTGTTTTCTGGATAGGTGAACATCCTCCAGCATCTCGGACCATGCTACGCCTGTAAGCAATAGCAAAGTGAGCCCCTCGCCGTAATAGATACCATCAAGATCCATGATAATATATATATATATATTTTATTTATTTTATTTATTTATATTTATTTATTTATATACACATGTCCATTCAATTGATACCATCAATAGATACCATATGATACCATCAATAGATACCATACACCATACTGTAACAGATGCCATGAATCTGGCCGCAGGAAGACACCATCAATGCGATGGTGGATCCAGGCGAGTATGGAATCGAAAACTTCCGATGCCGCTTGGTGTGCCTTTTCCTCTTTACCCTGTCCGTGATGCATGAGAGGCTTGGCCGGCAAAAAGACTGCCAAGCTAAGCGATCATTCACGCACATGCACGGAGATACATACATACATACATACACACACACACATAATATATAATAAATTACAATAATATATATATATATATTACACATACGCCTACATGTGTAACGTACGTACATGCATGCATGCAACCATCATCTAAGAAAATAAAAGTCAGCATCAGAAAATGTACAAAAAATGCCTACAACATTTGAAAACATACAAAACCCTAACATGTGTAACCAGCAGCAGCAACCGTATTGCAAAAACCACCGTAAAGCTTGAAGTTGACATTTGGCCTCAGATTCGTGCGCATTCTGTTAATGTTTGAATTGGAACTCGTCGTTGCGATCAAAATATGGTAGTCCAAAACGCTGCAAATACCATCAAACATGTCATTGTATCTGCACATGAAGCATCACAACTCATCAAACTCAACCATCCAAAGTCTTCAAATTACTGAAAAGTAGAATGTCGTCTTGGAAGGCAAAAATAAACAAACAGCATTGTAAAACAAACTAAAAAGTTCAAAATCAAAATCGGTAGGTTTTAGGGGGGTTGGCATATATGCGTGTGTCGTGTGTATGCATTATGCATAGATTGTATATATTGAGGTCACTTGCAGAAGCGACTTGTGGAGGCTGGTCTGTGCCAAGGATTGTGACCTGCTTGAGAATGGGTTTGCTTCTATGGTCTGTGTACCTTGGGCTCCAAAAAGATCATGCGATTGCCGTGCCATGCCAAGACTCCTGGTCACTGTGGCCCGAGGCCTAGTAGTGGAGAAAGTCAGATGTCGTGGATCACTCACAAGCAGGACAGGATGTTCGGCAAAGTGGTTGCAAAATATCGACCCTTGGCTGGGCATGTTGGGCTCAGTTGGAGTCATTTGGAATCTGCCTTGGAGTGTGACTTGTCGCCCTGTGTTAGCTGTGTTGGGAGCTTGCAGCTGGGGTACGAGGTGTTGGTGGCATGCCTCTATACTGGAAAACCATTGTATTTCTGGTGGTCTTCCTGCCCAAGCTGGCACTTTGCCACTACGTTTCTTGTCGTTTCTGATGATGCCCTCATGTAGAAACGTCAAGTTAAGTTAGTTGTGTCATGTGAGCTCGCCAACGTCGAGAAGATGGCTAATAAGGGGAGTTATCATCCCACAAAGAAATAAATATATCCAGTAAATGCAATCCATTGATCATAATTTGATCATTAATTATTAGTCGTTTCTATAATCACAATGATCCAAACTCTGTCACGGTTGGTGGTTCTAAATCAGATGTATCCCCACATACCTCCAGAATTTTAAATTGGATCTCATAAGAATTCCGCAGAATAATCCGCAGCCCACATTGTGTCCACATTCCATGTAGTTTCATTGGATAAGAATTGGCAATAAATAGTACCCCACATCCAGATCCCATGTCAAAAACTGTCATGGTTGTTGGTCATAAGTCATAAGTCATATCCCCACAGTGGGGCTCATGGGGATCATGGGATATTTCATGGGATCCCAGAATGCCATACCTGGCGGGTGGATCATGGGATGATTGGGATGGCCTTTCCAAGAATACCATGATGATTTTTGCCCATCATATCCATGGAATATCATGGAATCCATAGCGTAATGAGGCTTTATCAAGGGATCGGCTTTATCAGCCATGACATGCCATGACTTCCCATTTTCACGGGTGAATCCCGGGTGAATCTTAACCCCCATTCCGACTAAAAAAAATCACCACCATTCTTGACAAACAAACCACAAATGTTGCTGGTGAAAGCACGGGAAAAATATTCCACCCATTAGAATTTTATCAGAAATGGGTAGTATAAACTTTGTATAAACCAAGAATGGAAGTTTATTAATCCCATCCCCCTTCGAACCACCCCCATTCTATGGTCTCTGGGAGGTGTTTCATCTTAGGGGAAGGTGTTATTGGACATTGTTCACCATCTATCATTGGGAACATCAAAGAAACCATTAAATCACCATTAAATCCCTAGTAGGTCATCATTTTGTTAGTTAAATAATGTTATCTTAAATCCCATTGATCATCTATCAGGTACCATTCAACCACCATCAAATCCCCATGAAATCCCATCAAATCACTATTAAAACCTTATTAAACCCATTAAAAACCACCATTTTGACGGTTTCAATCCCCATGAAATCCACTGTTTTACCTCCGACATCCGGCCACCAGGTCCTGTTGGAAGGCACTCTGCTGTTGATGGACACCTCCGGCATCTTGGACGGTGTCCTGGGGGCGTTGTCCATGGGCTTCGTGCTGAGCATCGATGAGATGCTGTGCCTTGGGCCGGCGGGGCCAAGGGGGCCAAGGCGTGGGATTTTCGTGGATTTTCCATGGGGACTTCATCATGAAAACGGAGGAACATATAGGAGACATATAGGAAAAATGGGTGATTCAATTTCCAAAGAAAATGTAAGATATGGATAGATATGGGAGATGCCCTGCACAATTTGGATGATGTGATGGCGCTTCATGCAAAGTAGGGAGATGGTCCCAAAGTTGGGTGAGAACTAGACATGATCTTAAACTAGTCCCAAATCTGGCAGCTCAAAACTCATTATTTTCAAGTTTTGGGTCACCAGGTTGATGGCCTAAGGAACGATGCAATGACCTCTGGAGCTGCTGCATCCATCATGAAGAAGTTGGAGCAGTCTTTGGAAGAGGAGGAGCTGGCCCAGGAAAAGGCAGAGGCGCCTGCAATTGGACAAAACCATGGAAAACATGACATGCGGTCCCCCAAGATATGTTATATAATGGTATACATACATACATACATTACATTACATTACATTACATTACATTACATTACATTACATTACATTACATTACATTACATTACATTACATTACATACATACATACATACATACATACATATATATACACATACATACATACATACATGCATGCATGCATGCATGCATGCATGCATGCATGCATACATACATACATCCATCCATCCATGCATGCATACATACATACATACATACATACATACATACATACAGTATGGATATTTTGTGGTGTAGTTCTGGAAGATGATTTATATGATTTTCTTTTCAAAGTTGAAGCATGGGGAGGATTCGCAAATGTATGGTTCCACATGGTTCCACGTTGATCATCATGTTGGCAGCCATCAGGAGGCAGGAAAGGGACACCCAAAGTCGACGCCATTCTGCAGCATTGCTGTCTTCAGGCGTTTGTTGAAGCTCATGGCTGGGAATGGAACTGGTACAGTAAGATGCAGTAAGCGCGGAGAGGTCATTTAGGACTCTCAACTTGCACCGCAAGGTGAAGTAGGGAAAAAACCTAACCTGGAAGGGGAAAGCGCACCCTTCCTGCATGGTTTTCCTGGGGAAGGTCGCAGAAGATTGTGTTTTCATTCGTTTTCCCCCTTCTTTGTTCATTTTCTGGAGGTATGTTATGGTATCCCAGCTGTATCGCGCTGCAGGCAGATTATTCCTCTACGTGTTGTGTCTGCATGTGCCTCTTGGTCGAGCATGGTTGAGAGGGGGCTGGGGCTTAAACGATGTGGCCTTCAAACTTCAAAGCGTGAAAACTGCAAAGGTCGTCATGGGGCTCTACGTCGGAAGGTACTATGAGCCCCTTGGGCGTCAAAGATGCATCTCCAAATATGCCGGTTTCACTGGGGTGGGGCTCAAGATTGGCTCACCCGCTTGGTATTTGTACTGCTGTACCATGTTGGAACTGCTCGGCTAGAATCTTTGATCTTTGATGCAGTTCTGTTGATCAGAGCCTTTGCGTGATGCGAGGTTCAAATGCAAGTACTCGGACGGGTTGCTTTTTGAAATGCAAGCGTTTTGGAAAACTGTATGGAACAGCGCCATGTGCATTGATGAGAGCCTGCTGATGCAACGAGATGGTTTTGATGTTTTCAGCTATGACAAAATGGTCAACCTTTGCTGACATAGCCCCGTGCAGGAGCACTGGAAGATGTGGGTTTCGAAGGACATGTATGCGCCGTCCACGGCCTCTTACACGTTGACAGACTTCCTCCTCAATGGCTTCTTCCAGACGGCCGCGTGGCAAATTTGGAGATGGCGGGACTTTGGGAAAACCATGATCCAAATTGTACGGTGACACACCAGACATATCCTCAATATGAGAAGCGATTCAATGCTACCAGCCCACTTGTGATGTGTCATAAATGCAATGCCGTTTGGCTGCCACCGGAAGGGACAGATAGATCAGGCTGGTTGCAATTCTGTGCTTCCGTGATATAAATACCCAATCACTGTTTGACATTGTTTGACTGTGTTTAAGTGCGCATGTGCATATCGCATCACATCGCATCATATCATTGCTTTTTGATGAGGTGCCGAAAGGATCAGAGCCTTTCTGGACCATGAAGTAGGCCAATCGCAGCAGACCACCACCAAAGAGCTGGTGGAAATATCCATGCAGCGATCGCGAGTCTGACAAACACCGGGCGCACAATTGAAATTTCGACACCGCTATCACAGCATATATATATATAGATACAACATGATACAACTTATATAATTGAACGGGCACTGTAAACTTCGTCGTCATGATCCTAGTGCTTCAAAAATGCACAGGCGGTTTCAAAGAATTACCAAAGCTGGAGTGTTCAGGCCAATAGCGGGTCCAAAAAGTCCAGACTTTCGTTCAACCTTCTTGGTTGCTGCAAGGGCCGTGCGCGTCTTTAGCTTTGGCAGCGATCCAGCTGCCACAAATGCAAAGCCGGACTGTAGTAGCATGTAGTAGCAAAACGCTCACTTTGCCGATTGTAGCGCACTTTGGTTGGCACATGATTCGACCACAGCCCAGGTTCATTTCCTGAGACCAAGCGTAAGGCGTAACGGATGAAAATCATGTGCAAGCTGTGCGTAGAACCAGGCTGCCCAGTGGCTCGAGCTTTTGGCAGCCTGGTCTGTGGACGACTGGACTGGAATTTCACATGTTGAAAAGCGCGAGTGCAGAAGGCTGCGCTGCTCGCGGTTCTCGAAGCCTGAATGCCCATACACAATCACACACAGTCAGACATACAACTTACATACAACTTGCATACAACCCATTACGCAGGTGCTCTGCAGTACTTGCGAGCTGGCATTAGGAGCTTGGCTGCAAAACGCCGGCTTCAAAATAAATCAAAACACTAGTGCAGTTGGGGTGAGGAACTGAAAAATCACGGCCTCTCCCAGGTTTGGAGGCAGGATTCTTCGCAGCACGCCAGACGAACAACGAGAGTTTGCGGATAGCCTTCTATCCAGACCTTGGGGACTCAACTTCGCCTTTGGAGGGCCAAATGAGGTGCCGCCTGCCCAGAAAACTCACGGATGAAAAACTCAAAACATGGGATGAGATGATGATATTCTTAGAATTTCTTAGATATATTCCTAGATATTTTAGATATTCCCAGATATTCTTCTTAGACACCGATGAAAATGGATGTTTTTGAAGTTCGATTTGGTTGCTGGAAACACCTGGCGAGGTATGGCGCTCACGTGGACAGCTTCGGAATAACCATCCTCAATCTTGACCCCCAGCGTCCTGAAGGACCAAGTGCCACCATGGTCCTAAAACTTGGTTTATCTGAAACGGCAATGGAAGCGGAACATGACTCATGGACATTTTGGAATAGGATGTCCCTATACACAGAGAGATGCCTAGATGATCCTAGATGTATGATGTATGGACCACCAAGCCATGTTTGTTGCAATCAATTTCGACAAAAACATATCGAGTCATATCGCACGCTGTCAGGACTCCAGGTTCGCCTTGGCGACGACAGTGAATGGGCAGATGCTTCTAGTCTCAGGGCCTTGCCCAATCGAAACTGTGAACACGTACTGTAGGGAACTGATGGGATCTGTAGGGCTGGGGGATGTGACAGGGGAACAAATGAGGTCCCCTACGTGGAAGGCTTCTCAGTCTGCAATTTAGAAATGCCGGCACCTGGCAAACTTGAAGCTGAACTGCTGGATGTGTGAGCAATCTCCAAGTGAGCTCAAGTCAGTTTATGGTAAACATGTCCGATCTTTTTTGGATCGAATTTCCGCTCAGGTTCCTTTGTTTTGAATGTTGGTGCTTTGCTGTCCCGTTGGACCAATGGCTTCTGGAAGGCTTCGGTACATCGGGTCCTGCCAATGCCTCAGTGGGCGGATGTAGCACCGGACATGAAATTCCAGCGCTGCAAATGGGGTTCCTCAAAATTGCAGAGCTCCAAAGCCACCAGACTTGGCCATTTATAGTACGGAACCCGGTTAGATTTTTTGGGGTCCAGTGCGAGAAAATGTGAGAAATATCATGAAAGTTTTCATGAAATATCATGAATCATGAAATATCCGAGTATCTTCCAGATATTCTTCCAGATATTTCCAGTTTTGATTGGCGATCTCAATTGACTCAGGGGTTGGCCGCCAAGGTATCCCTTCTCGGGGACGACGAAACCTCAAAAAAAGATACGTTCTGCTAGTTGTTGGGATCCGCTAACTTATTTGGGTGGTTATATGGCCACGTGATGAATCGGATACCAAAATTCCACCCCTGATTGAATGGGTCGGTCATTCCTGGAATTGGATGATGCCCACAATTACATACAATTACAGGAACCTGCCTAGACCTTCCAACGTTCAATAATTTCTGTACTTTTGGGCTTTTGGCCGCAAATGACCGCAAAAAACCGCAAATGCCGCAAATAGTTCAAATTGGACCAATCGTTCTGAAACACACTAGAACAACATGAAATTGCAAGAATGAAGCTGACTTGATGTATCTTGGCATGCTAGATGGGAGTTTCTGCATGTTGACAAACAAAGTGGACCTGCTTAACAGACGGCAAGAAAAACAAATCTACCGGTTGGTGGAGATTGTTGAAGAATATGACAAAACAACTCAGGCGCTCAAAGAAGGCTTTGGTGCCACGCTAAAAGCAAGCTTTGCTGGATGGGAGACACCAGACCGCTATAGACGTTGAAACAGACTGGATTTTTCTGAATGTGTTAAAAAAATCAGAAGGCCCATGTTTTTTTGCAAGAAATGTCCGCAGGAAATTCCAAAAATGCTCTGAATTCAAGAAAAATGTCGACAGTTTTCCCGCAAAAAGTGCGCACATTTCCCGCACAAATACGCAAATCTCCGCAAAAGTACGCAAATCGGGATTTCTTAACTGCTGCGGTTCATGCATGTGACAAATCGCATCAAATCGCAGCTTGTTGGAATGAAAACTGTTATTTCTGCAAACTATGCATGCTTCAAACAAACTATTTTCAAATATATATAGCTTAGTATTCCTGCATGTTTGAGGCTTTGAATCTTTGGGGCTCCCATCACCAACACAAACTCTGCACATTTAGGAAAGCATTGACATTGTCACCAGCAATTCCAATGGCTGAATTGTGAGGGACCCATTGCGGCAAGATATTTTAACCACCCGTGCCATATCTAAGGTGGCAGTCAGAACTGCTGTAAAGAGTTCACTTTTGTTGAAATTGAAACCGTTTATATACATTTGATTGAACGTTTCAATCGGCCCAAAAGTGCAGAAATCCCAATCGTACAGAATTTTCTGTACTTTGGAAGTCCAGGTGGAAAATTAAAAGCGTGGTAGACACATGCAACATCATGCAACAACTAGTCAAACTCATGGTTTCTGACAGATTTCTCATTAAAACCATCCATTGAATCGTGGTGGAAAGCTCAGGTTCATGCCTGGTCAGCGCCTGTCAATTGTTGCAGGGGCCTTGCGACCGCGGGATGCTACTTGGACGACCGATGTTTTTGGCATCATCCTTTGCCAAAGATTATGACAAACGATATATGCAGTATTTCCATGTATTTCCCATAGATATAGAATGATATAGAATGATATAGACAATTTATATACGCCAGTTGTGGGTACTTTGTGTCTGAACTCTGGGGTTTGGACCTTAAGAGTTGTGCAGCATGATTTGGATACCCTTGGTGCTTGGCAACATGATAGGCTCGGGCGGGAGAGTTCACTTTTGAAATGGAATCGCACCCGTGACCGTTTATGGAATCTAGAAATTCAATGTTATATCGTCTTCCGTTTCGTTGCGTTTCCTTTTAACTTTTCTATGCAACGCGCAGAAATCCGTGCGGATTGTGCCCGGATTCCATAAGTATTTGGTGGCGCCATGGGGTTGATCTTGGATCCTTACCACATGGAGATTTGTCAATAACATTTGAATCCTCTGACAGTGGGAGAACATGGCTAGCTAATGCTAGCTATGAGTAGGTGAACATTCTAACACAAGCGGATGTGGTTTTAGCTCAGGATGTGCTGATAGAAGCTTGTGGCCCGGCTGCGGACGATAAGAGGCCGGAAGCTGCCACAACCCGTCTTGCCCGTGGATATCCACGGAATCCATGGCAGGTCTTGGCTTCCAAGGGGTGTGAAATGGTGTGAACAACTGATCAGGAACAGTAACCCTGAAAGCTCCTCTCCCAGAGTTCGTTGAAGGGACAATTTGATACAATTTGCAGGACGCCCGGAGATTTGCGGGCAAAAACCCGTGAAAAACCAGCCAAGACAAAGCATGGTTTCCTCCAAAAGCTTCCTTAACATCAATGAAATCAATCCCTGGATCCTCAGAGCCTCAGAGCCTCAGATTCTCGCCCATTGTGGCCGGCGACTTCTGCAAAGAGCGGGTGGAGCTCCACCGGCCATCCTATCTGCAGCAGAAAGGCATGGATGGGCACACGGAAGACTTGAACCTTGGAGCACCATGGAGAACCAGCTGCCAGCCATTTTTGGCAATGGACACATCATTTATATCATGTATCACGTGAAATTGACACTATATATTCATCTATCGTCTATATTCACTATTGAATGGTGAAATCATGATTTTTCATGCTAAGAACTCTCCACAGGTCAACACGGGTAAACATTTTGGTGGACCATCATCAGGAAGCGATCATAAGTCATGGAGCGTTCTCAATTGCTCAGGAGCGATGCTATCCGCAACTACCAGCAGTGACCGGAGAGATCGCTTTTCGCCAACGTTGCAGAAAAAAACGGCCGGCCTGAGATGCTGAGGTAACAACAACCCTATAGAATACCCTAGACATCCTAGTTGTGGCAGTGCTTATTGTAAGAGGATTGTTCCAGGCAAAGCATGTAGTAGTTCACTGGACCGTCTATGCAAGCATTCAGACAACTCACTAAAGTGGACTGACGTGGGCATTCCCAGGTGCGAAGTGGGATGTCCTAGCAACAGACGCTGACCCAGAGAAGCGCAAAACTTTGTGCCGCGCGTTGGTTGCTTAGACGGCCATGGATGGCCATGGCACAGATGATCCCAGAAGCCTTGGGAGCTGAGGCTTCGGCACTTTGCGCTCGCGAATGGCGCACATTTGGTGCTGACTTCTTTGAAGGCCAGAAGTGGCTTCTTCTAGCCATTCTCTGCTGGACTATATATATACATAATTATATACGTATATATATATAATTATATGTATATATATATGCATACAAAATTTGATAGATATAGAATAGCTCAAACCATCTCAACACAGCCAAAACTTGCTTCAGACAATGGCAAATGGATTTGTCTGAAAATGGCGTGCCCCAAAATCAGATTGATTGAATACATAAGTAAATGAATAAACAAATAAATATATACTATAATGTTCAAATCATTTACCATCATTTTTCCCATTCAATATTCAATGATTCAATAGCCATTTCATGGTGTCTTCTAATTTGTCACACCCAAATTCGTCCTTCGCAAGGACAAGACCTCGATGAACGCGATGCGCAGCATCCTGCGTCAATTGCTCTTCGCGGTGCCGCCCAAAGGTCGGCATCAGCGACGTGTTCCACGTCATCTTCGGAGATTTTCTGATAGGTAAAGCCATGGAGATAATGGATTTCATTAATGGATTATGTATACATAACACATAAATACGTACAGTAAAACATCATATAACATCATATAACATATAGTTACATGTATAAGCATTATACATAATTACTACATATTATACTCATATCATGGGGCATGATATACGCCATTGATGTATACATGTGTATGTGATATATTATAATGGGATTTGCCCCCAACTGATGGTAATTTTAGTCCGGCCAAATTATGATCAACCATAGTGGTTTGGTCCAAGTCTGAAGCGTTCCCATATGGGTCGGCCTCAAAATAGCAATTTATTAGGGAAAATGATGATTTACCATTTGCCAGTGGATTTTTCCATGTGTGCTTGATAATTATTTTCTGGCTACTTGGATCCGTTTGGCAAGGCAGTCTCGAGCAGCTCGACCACTCCAAGCCGATTTGCGTGCCAGCTGGCAAGGAAAAAGATGGGATGTCCATGGCTTCAATTCTTCTCCTTTTTCCAAAACTTCATTTCCGCAGGACTCTGTGAGTGCAATCGGTTTGCCAGCCAGCGGTCAGGCGGAGTGCTTGTCCTTATTGTCACGTGTATTTTCCAGAGTTTTCCATATTTGTCTATGACCTTGAAGTGTTCAGACTATCTGAGCTTGCAAGGCCAACGAGAGGGCTTGGAAGGAGTATGTGCAGCATCTCTTCCCCGATCCCTCGTTCATGCCTTATTTTGCAGGAAGGAAAGCATACCTGTAGCCACCTTCAATGTGACCCGGACATGCGCCGCTGCCATGTTCCCTATTGTGCTGGTGTTAAGGCCCTCGTCCAAAGGTGGCAAGAAGAGCGAGGCAGATCAGGCTGGGAAAAATATCATCAAAAAAGAACAGCATCCACAAGAGATGTCTAGACTATTCATAGGCTGCAAGTTTTATAGAGAAAAGGCCATCATTCGCATCCACCATTCCGCAGCTTCCCATCAACTGCTTGGAGCCCGCTGGGCTTTGACAAGAAGAATGCGTCAGCAAGGAAACCTTGCAGTGATAAGTGAGACAACATGAGATCACGAACAACCCAAACTGCATTTTGGGTGGACCCCTTCTTTTCTTTTTGAAAAATACTGCGCTTTACCCTTTAATTCCCTTCAATATTTTTGTGTTAGCGAGGTCGATGACCTCTTTGAAAAGACTTGACCACACAAACTGGACAGTATTTAGATGTATTTAGCAAGTTTACCAAAAGATTACCACCCTGGCGCTTCCTGGGATAATGACACTACCTCTGCAATTACAGAATGAAGGTTATAACTCTGCAGCTAAAAAGGTGCGCGGAAAAAAAGGTTATAATCAATGAGATAGTTGATTGCATGACTCATTACATTATTCATCACATAATAATTATAATACATAATATTCATCACATAATAACACATAATGACTGAGCACAGAATCGATCACAAATCACAATTCATCGCGCCATGGATGAGCTGCGGGTGTTGATTCGTCACCTCAGTGGCGATGAGTTGTGCTGCATCTCGGCCAGCCGCCAGCAGCCCATGGAGGTGCCATGGGGCCCATGGGGCCGGGGGCGCGGCTACTGAAGGGAGAAGTCGGGATTTATAGGGCAAACCAGTGGGTTTACCGACCTATAAAATCTATTAAAATCTGGCATATAAAGTTTGTCTGAACGAAAGAAACATGCAAAAACCATGGTCTGTTGATGTTTTTTGAGAATTGTGCAGTTAAATCACCCCAAACAATGCTCTACCTCCTCCTCCTCCTCGTCCTCCAGCTCCTCAACCGCGAGCTGCAGACAGCAGTGGGCACTGCTGGATCTCAACCGCGAGCTCCAGATCTCAGTGGGCACTGCCGGACCTCAACTATACAGAATTCCAAAATAGAATGTCAGAAAGAAAGCCAGATAGAATGTCAGAATATATGTCAGATAGAATGCCAGATAGAATGTCAGATAGAATGCCAGAAAGAAAGCCAGATAGAATGTCAGAATATATGTCAGATAGAATGCCAGATACTGTAGAATGTCAGATAGAATGCCAGAAAGGCTGCCAGATAGAATGTCACTTGGTGGGGATCACTCGAAGAAAGTAATTTTCCAGATTTATAGTAGTCCTCTCCAAACATACAACAGTAATTCAAAACTATTTAACTATTTCAAAGGAAATGTGGAATTTCTCATGTTTTCTCACCTATTTTTGGTCGCCATAATCCTGAGAACTGGATCCACAACATGTGCCGCCGAGACAGGCGATCAAAGCGAAAGTGGCCAGTGCCACTGGCATTGGGGTTGCTGAGCAGCGTTTGCTGTGGGGCGGCTATGAGCTCCTTGTGTCATTGGAGGAGCTTCCTATGGGGTGTGGAATGAGAGATATGATTTTGCAAAAGCAAGGTGCCACATTGTAGGAGAATGTAGGAGCAGAATATTCCGATAGTCTTAAACTTTTTCTTTTTGGCAGCCCAAGGTGTACCAAAGTTAATCCTACTAGTTGTGATGCCAGAGACATGGTTATGGTGCAGTAAATCAGAACGGCAGGAGTTGGAGTTGGACAAGATCCTACATTTGGGAGTGTTGGAGCTAACACTGCTCCGGCGCACCAGGGAGCAAGTGGAGTGGCTGGAGAACGTCTCGCAGGTTCGTGGCTGCGATATCCTGAAAGCCACCGGCCAAGTTAGACAGAGATGTCCGTGATGGCCCCGCAGGCAGCCGACCTCTCCACGGCTCCAGACATAGTCAGGCGCGGTGATAATGGAGTATGCGCCATCATATAGCAGAAGCAACTGAGCATTGATTGGCACTGCAGTGGCATTGAAGCCTGTACAAGATGCCTCTTCCCATCATCAATCCGGCCCCTTGATACTTCTTGTGTTGGAATGTTTCCAGCTGCCACAGGGAAGACCGCGAAGTTCTTCTGGCAGCAGTGCGGGCAGATGATGATGCCCTGCAATGGGCCTCAACAGATTTGCTGGCAGACAGAGGTGTTGTTCTCGAAGCTGTCCGGAGGTGGCTGGGTCTACTGCTCGAAGTTGAGAGTGATGACGAGAGTGATTCCTTGAGCGCTTGCATAAACCAAACTTTGTGTTTTTTGACTTTTGGGTGGTCCGTACCACCAGTGCTGTCCAGCAAGACACCATTGATGTGCAGGTGTGGTTTCAATCTTGCCTGTGCCAGCAACTCTCTCCAGGCATGATGGAGACTCACTTGCTGAAAATGAATTGCTGGAATCCCTTCCCCGGCCTTTCCAATTTGCGAGCACCGCATTTCAAGTTGAAAGTTGTTGGATTCTTTCAGCGGACCCTGCAAGCCGTAGGCTTTGTTTTGATTCTCGGCGGACTCACTAGTTGCTGGGAAATCTTACTACCACACACGTCCCCCACCGGTCTCACAGACCCTCCCCTTCTACCATCTTTCTACCTGCCAACTGGTCGCCATAGTTTCAGCCAGTTTTTGGTGTCATAGTTTCCCAGTATTGGTTTCAGGGAAAATGGGCAGGACACCCCCTTACATCTGGGGGGAAATACATGTAAAACCATTGGGTTCCTATGGGTTCCTGCAGATTTTCCCTGACACCTTTGGTTGTGTCAGGCAGACCGCGAAGTGGTACTTGCTGCTGTGGGGCGGCATGGCCTGGCACTGGAGTTTGCAGATGCTGAGCTACAGGCTGACCATCAGGTCAGGCTGCGCCTTGAAGGGGGAAGTCTCACAACAACCTCACGGCTGGAAAGGGGAATCACCACCAAGAATTACCGTATGCACTTTTTCCAGTATCTCCAAAACACAATCCGTTTCCTGAAGGATGCGTGATGATTGCGTGGATCTGGAATGGAAATTCCAGAGAAATACTCCGGGTGCTGGATCTTGATCTTGGCTGTCCCACTGGTGATCACTGGTGCTCTTCAGATGTCTTGAATTGGAGTCTTGATTTTTGGGACTTTGGGTCATATCTTCCCGTCAGGTGGTCCTGACAGCGTTGGCGCAAGATGGAAATGCCTTTCAATTTGCTGATCTGAACCTGCGGGGTGACCGCAAGTTTGTGCTGCAGATCGTCAGCAATGGCCAGGACGAAATCGGTTTCGTTGATCAGTTGAAGCGCTGTCTTGAGGTGAAACGTCGTTTGGAATGCTTGGAACTAGAATGAGCCAGCATCTGTTCATTCTCAACTGATCCCATGCATCGAAACCATACAATCTTAAGCCTTCGCGGTTTACAGTAAGCACATGAGGGTCAAGACCTTCAGCCAAGGCGCGCCGTGAAGCAGAATGGCTATGCGCTGACCTATGCCATGCCCGAGTTGCGCGGAGACCGCGAAATTGTGTTGGCCGCCATTGAGAGAACTGGCTGGACTGCGGCGCTTGCAAGTTGATCTGTCACGATTCACTGCCCAACATTCAACAGCTGTGCTTCCAACAAAGATGAGTGCAGGATATGGGAGTGTGGACTCCAAATTTCGCAGTTTGGTGGATGGGCACTTCAAACCGCTGCAAGGCACTTGCAGGCGCAAACTCGAAAGCAAGCAGTTTGGGTTCCACCTTCGAATTCCGTTCCAGCTGTTTCTAGCTGTTTCCAGCTGGAGACCAGGCAGACCGAAGTGTCGTGCTTCCTGCAGTGCGGCGGGATGGTGCTGCTTTGGAATTTGCCTCTGCCGCATTGCGTGAAGACAGAGAGGTGGATCTTGCAATATCTTGCATCAAGTGTGTCGATTTTGTTTTCGATGCTTTCCCAGCAGTTGGAGAATGTTGGGATAATCAGCTTATGGCTTGTGCTAACCATGTATGTTGAATTCCCACCATATAATTCCATATGAATCCCATATCGGTCCCCTTCAAATCACAACTTTTGGACACCAAGTGGTTGATATTCCCTTCTTCAATTCTATGGAATCCATTGCTATAATCATTACTATAATCCATCAATAGTAAATCAATTAGTAATCCATTATAATCCATGAGTAATCCGTCAACAACCCACTAGTAATCCGTATTAACACATACACACGGATATATATATATATTATATATGATATAGATATACATACATATAACTAGCTAACTATATAACTATATAAGCTATATGACTACGTATACAGACTTTCTATAACTATATAAGTTAATATAACAATATAAGCTATCTATATAAAGTATGGAACTATGTTACGCACGTATAAAACACAGCATGCTTTATACATAATATCAGTCCGCTCGCCAGGTGGTGCTCCTGGCCGTTCGGCAGTGCGGTGCCGCGCTGGCCTTCGCCACTACGGTGCTGCGAAAGGATCCTGAGGTGCCCGGATTTCCCGGGGGCATCGGAAAAATGACAGTTTGAATGGGAAAATATGGGAACATCGTCTATTTTAATTGGGATTTCATAGGATTTAATGGGGTTGACTTGGATTATAATCACATATACTGTAAATATATACATATAGCCTGTTTTTGTAGGGGTGTCTGTCTCCAGAAGATGCCTGTTTTTCGGTTAGCTCCAGTAGAAGAGAGATATGTTCAAGCTTGCGGCAATGGAGTAGCAACCTTAAATATGTTGCAAGAACTGAAATCTCATTATTCAACATTCGATCTCCGTACGCGTGGAATCCAATTCATTCCAAATTTCTCGCAAGTAAGGGTTGCAACTAGCGGGGTTCAGTCAAAACTCACATCTGCAGAGGCAGGTGCATTTGTCCGATACTTTCAATCTGCGTCGCTTTCATTTGAAACAACCAGAACTGGTATAAAGGTACCTTGGCTTCTGGTTCTTCTAGATTTCTGTGCTATGTGCCCTTGTGACACTTCGTGGTTGGTTCAAGAATCTCTCCGTAAAAGTGTTTCGAAGTTTCGTGCTGTCGCTACCCTGTTTTTGAAAGCCCAGGAGTGTCAAATATGTGTGGCCAGCCAAAGCACAATTTGTAGCGATTTCGGGTTTGGTCGCCTTTCGGGTTTTTTTGGGCACATAAGCTTTTATCATCCCCATAAGGTTTGGTTTCTTCTTGCTGCCCTTTCTATTAGAAATCTTAATCTTGATAGTGGGTCCAAGATGATGACTTACAGCTTTCAGGACGATCTGAGTGTCCTGCAAACGCTTCCTGACAGTTTGCATTAGTCTTTTCCATGGGCAAACGGTGAAGGGGGCACCCGTGGAAACTGAATTGCATCAGCTTATTTCCTCTTCTTAGCGTGCTGGAGTGCTCGAGAGGCCGACAGTGTGCAGGGCAGGAGAAAATATATACATATAGCAAGCCCCAAGAAGATTTTGAAAAGTAAAATCCGACTCACATTAGTGGTAATTTAGCTGTGGGGGCGATGCTGGTGGGGAGGTCTTTGGGATGTTTTGCTCCTCCGATGTCATTGGAATCTGGCGGATCATATGCTTCGGTCTAGTTCCCGATATGTTACTATTTTGCTCAGCGCGGGGAAATTCACAAGATTAGCTTGGTCATTCCATTGACGTGCTGGTGTCTATGAACCGGTTGGAGTGGCAGCGTTTGCAAAGAGCATGGGTTGCATCCTTTCCCAGTGAAACACCAGCCGGTTGGGTGTAACATTCATCAGACGGGTGAGGAACATATGGCTTGGACGGGCGTTTGTTCTAGTAGTCAGACAACTTTTGCAAGGGCAGGGTTTTGCAAGTGTGTCATTTGCACAGAACTGAGAGATGGCACGGTTTACATTCTGCTTTGCCTCCAAATCTTCGATTTGCTGATATTGTGGCACTTTTGCTGCCAGAACTTTCTCCGTTTATCATTCACCTACGTTCGTTTGTATATTCGGGTGATCGTTTGGCTTCTCTCTCTATTTTTGTCAGCAGCAAAGAGCTTTGGGATCGACACGCTGTGTGTGAAGTTTGCCTTAGTTCTTGGTTGTGTTCACCTGAGTGCTCAGCCTTCAGTGAAGGGGTAGGTTGGCCACCTGTTCCTGAGAGAGGTTGGGGTGCATGCAAAGCCGGGACCAATAAGGGTTTGGGGGGGTGGCGTCGCCGAAGGTCTGTCTGGAGGGCGCAACCAAAAAAAAACGGTAAATTGCCTTTTCTGTATGCCGGGATTTCGCAGTTTCACCATGAGAAGGTACTGGTAGAGGACATTTGGCAGGCAGGAACATTTTTTTTTGGAGGTACTATAACCATCAAGAATTTGGATTGTCATCCGGATTTCCTTTTTTTTTTTTTAAAGAGCTTATGAGCCACCAGCAACCACTACATTAATACTGGTGGAAAATTAGGGAGCTAATCTGGGGATATCACCAACATGATGTTTATGGAGAGTAAACTGACAGGGTGAGAAGCACCATGTTTTCGGGTGTGAACATCCATAAGTCGCAGCTATTTGGGGGTGAGCCGAGGGGTATCAGGGTTTTGACCCCATACCAACAAAGCTCTGGAAATTGACGGATTTCCTGCTCGGAAATAGCATGAGAGTATTTAATTTATGTTTTGTGGTTGTATATGATTGTATCATGTTGTGGGAACATGTTTTCAATGTACCCAGAAGGGGTTGATTGCAGCACATCCAAGCTGGCCGCTTTGAAACTTGAGGAACAATCCCAGCATGTAGTAAACCATAGTAAATCACCAAACATACATAAGATAGAACAGTAAAATCCCACTATTGAGGGTTACTATAGACATCACCCATCTCTATCCATCTCTCAGGTGGTTCTGGCAGCTGTTTCGGAGTCTGGGCTGGCGTTGGAGCATGCGTCTTGCGAACTACGCAGCCTGCCAATGCTGGATGTGGTCAGTGATGTTAGCCCCACCATGCCTGGCACTCGATGTAAAATATTCAATCCCCAAAGAGGATCAAAGAGGATGGTTTTGCAGGTTCTTGTGTATATCTCCGTACATCTCCGTTCCCTTCATATTGATCTCATTTTATTATCCCAGTTTTCTCATGTTTTCTCCAGTTTTCGGACTCCCAAAATGGGACAGTCAGCCCCTGAGGCGATGATCGCAACCTCGTGACGACCGCCGTGGCCCAGCAGGGCGCCGCGCTGCGCTTTGCCTCGCTGCGGCTGCGGGGAGAGGAGGACGTGGTGCGCATGGCCCTGCGATCGGATGACATGGCGCTGTGCTGGGCATCACAGGAGCAGTGTCGATGTGGAAACGATGCCTTGATCTTGGTTCGTATGGGTTCATAGTAATAGCATGCAATAGCAACATAATGAGGTAAATACTCGTACCATTGGATTATGACAGAATGATTGGATCATACCATGAACAATTATGAACACGATTATAGCAACCCCAAAAAAGATAGAAAAGCAGCATTCAGGAGCTACAGCTGAGCCGGCGGCTGCACAAGTTTGCCCGGCGATGTGGCCAAGTGGAGCGTTCGCGGTCGAGAGAAAAGATGCACCACGATACACCCATACCGCTTGGAGACATGTCAAATGTCCCCCGTTGTGCTCCAGCCACTCCAGCAGATTCCAGCAAAAGTAGCTGCTGTTGAAATTGACCAAGATTTGTGAAGGTGATGGAGGAGCTGTTTAAGTATCCAGAGAGCAGCATTGATGGCATGGTGGAGCAGAGGTGGGGGCAGTACAAGTCACAACATCCATAGGATGGAATCGGGGTAATATGGGGTGGATCAGAAAATTATGCCCACAGACTTGGCTCTTCGTCTCGCCAGGAAAAGTAAAAAGATCAAAAAGGATCCAAAATCCTCCAAATTCATGATTTAATGAATGTATGGACTATAAAGACATATAATGACTATAAATTACAGATACAGTAATTATAGTACTATAAATGCATTGATTAATCAAAAAGATCCCTTTTTTGACGCCCCGGATTCACTCAGTTCTGGTCTCACGTTTGGGGCACAGGGTGGAAGAGCTGCAGCAATACCGGCGGCAGGTCAGGAACTTGTTGGACTTTCGAATGGATCATGCTGGACAGTGATGAAATGCTGATAGGTCATCAGATGTCATCAGATTCTTCAGAAGCTTCCAGGATTTCAGAAGGTTTCAGAGCACATCCACACGTGTTTTCTCATGTTTTCCACTCCAACTGGGGAAAAAAATCAGCTTCACCATTCTTCATGTTTTGGACCAGGTCCAGCGGAATCAGCGTTTGGCATCTGAGGGTATTGAAGGCAACAAGGCGGACCGGTGACGTGACAGCTGATTGTTGTGCTGTGAAATTGTGGTTCCATTTGATGGCACAGTTTGTCAGCAAATCGATGACCCATTTTTTGTTTTTTTTCTTCAGTTCATTTGATTTGATGAAATCGTTTGATCTCATTGATATGATATGTGCCAGATCTAGTCTGATTGACTGCCTCCGCAGGTTTGTCGCAAACTGGGGGGAACCTGCAAAATTGGCATTTAGTTCGGAAGATTGTCATATCATTCATGGGATCATTATGGATTATTTGGATAAGAATAGATGAAAGAGCATAAACAACAATAATGACCCACATGGGATTTCATTTCTTTCTCCAATTTTTTGAGATTTTTGAGCAAGCCCATCTACCGAATCTACCTCTCCATCTCTGCTGCAGGTCTCAGCTGTCAGCGTCGCTGCATAAGGCCTGGTTCCAGAAGGGATGGGTCAAAGATGTGGTACCATAAAACACCACTCGACCCAAAAAACATCGATCAGTTTCAGCATTATCAGCATTCAGCCATCCTCAATCCCATTTAATCCCTATGGAGAATCAACAATTTTGATCAATTTTGACCCATGCCTACATTTTTACATGATGTGGATGGCACTGGATGGCACATGATGGCACGCTGTTTTGTGGCACGCTGCCGCCGCAGCTGTTTGGAGATCAAGGGGCCCTTGGGACGATGGTCTGATCATTGCCTTGGGATGGTACCACCCACCCTGCAGGCCCTCAGACCTTTTGATTCAGCATGTATGGCCCTGTATGGCTGTCTCCAATGACTAGGCCAATTTGGAAATACGATTTTTACTGCCGTGGCACTTGCGGCAAATAGTGTAGCTCTTCAATCTTCAAGCTACCTCGAGACTTCGACATTTGAGTTTTGATGTCCTTCTACTGCAGGATTGGTGCGTGAAAAAGGCAGCAACACCTCTTTTGCAGGAACCTCAGCTTGCTCGATTGGTTCCTGGTACCTCATACCTCAGTTCAAAATACACGCTTAAGACCAATCAAGAGATTGAACGACCCCTGCATCAGAGCGGTGGATGGCTACTTGAGCATTCAAACCAAAGTCGGGAGTTCACCTTGCACATGGCAAAAGCACAGTTCCTTTGGCTCAAGCAGTGTGAAGCTTAAAAAAAACCTTGCCCGGCTCAGGGCTTCTGTATCGCTTGAAAGTCTGCAGAATGCAGTCTGACGACGTGTTCCCCATTTCTCGGCACAATTTTCAACAGCTGGAAGAAGGGGACAGAGGGGAGATTGAACTCTTGCCAGCCGAGTCCGAAAGCCTTCACAGGTTAGGATTCTGGCAAAGATGTGGTGTCCGGTTGCTATGCCTGGTGTTGGTGTGCTACTTCCTACCGATGCTGTCCTTCATACCTTTGGCCATCTTTGGTGGGGTCCATATGCCCAGCCCCTGGGCTGGTGACTATAATCATGACGCACCCACTGCGTCAGTACCTTCCAAGGACACCGCAGGGTACCCGGGTATGAACCAAACTTTTACATGTTGGGAAGCACAGATGTTTGGGTAATAGTAATAGTTTTAAGATGTTTTAAGATGAAACCATCCCAGTTTTGGGCATCCTACCCCCAACCAATTGCAAGTTGGACATGTAGGGCGAATGGTTTGGAGGCTGTGATTTTGGCACACGGTACGCCATGTTACGAATAGTCTCCGTGCCCCTGGCCTCAGCGATTCCCGAAGGAAATGCCAACTGGACGATGGTACTGGAATCTTCCACTGGTGTCGATGATTTTGATCCTCTTTCCCTTGGCTGTTGTCTTCGTCTTGTATCACTTGAAGATGAGAGCAGTACGGCGGCAGCAGATGATTGACTCCCTTCTGGCGGAATGTGTTTGATTATATGAAGTGTTCAAAACCTGGTCATTTCGTAGGTTGCTTGCCTTCAATGCAATGCTTTGGAGGTTGGCGCTGACTGCCAGGATATCGCAAGTTTCACCCGGCCAGGGCATAAAGACTCTGACAGAATGAGCGGCTCTGGTGATTTCATGTGGCTTTGTGCAGAATGGATGGCACAGACACTGAGCTCGTGATCTAAATTTGCGGAGCACAGGAGCGCAGCAGTAAAGTTCATTTGATTGGAATGGCAGAGCACAGTTGTCCCGTGTTGTCCCTGTTAAGTGGGGGGATCATGTTGAACATATGTTGAACTGTTTGACTTGAGTTGGCCAACCCTAAGGTCGACTTGAGCATGACGAAGCTGGAGGCTGATGGAAACATCCTGATTTGGCGCCGCTGAGCGTGAGAATTGATGAGTCCACACCATCCACCAGAGTGTGTTGAAACAACAGTCCGGCCAGCAATGACTGCCCCATTGAGTAAAGCCATGACATCCCACACCTTATGTTTGCCTCTCAGACTGATTCATCAACCTTTACAAATCTTTACAAGTCTATTAAGTTTTATCAAAGTCGTACCAGTATCTTTCTCTAGTGAGATCGGTGCTGCTTTGAGCCCTAGTAGCTGCGAAGCAGCAACGCCTAAAGCTGGAACAATCGATGCGGTTTCGCAGTTGCGGGGAAAAACCAGTGCATTGCCAAGACGGGCACGTGATGTTCAAAGGGCACCAAAGCAACCGATATCAACCGATTACGGAATGATGTGTGATAGTTAATTATGATAATTATGTGATCATATGTGATCATATATGACTTAAGTGTACACGTGATGTTATGTGGTTTGACATGTTCGATCTGTGCATTTGTTGTCGGAATAGATTGACGAAGAAGACGAAGAAGAAGAAGAAGACGAAGAGGAAGAAGACGAAGAAGAAGACGAAGAGGAAGAAGACGAAGAAGAAGAAGAAGAAGACGAAGAAGACGAAGAAGAAGAAGAAGAATAAGAAGAAGAAGAAGACGAAGAAGAAGAAGACGAAGAAGAAGAAGAAGACGAAGAAGAAGAAGACGAAGAAGAAGAAGAGGAAGAAGAAGAAGAAGAAGACCGCGTTTCTTGCTTCCTCCCTGTGCAGGCTGCTGCCCACCAGCTTAGCGAAGCCGACAGTGTCTCACATGGTGTCGTGCAATGGTCAGATGTGATATGGGCACCATGACTAGCAGGGACTTCAGGCATTTTGATGTTGGTTGAGGTTGGTTTCTGGCCTGAAAAACGAGCTACGTTTCACTGGACCACCGCAGTTGTTGGAACAAAATCGCAGGGCACAGTTGGTGATGTCAACTGCACTTTGTGCACCTGGTGGTTGATGATGTTTTGCTGTGCTTCCACCGCTTTCACCATCGACACACGAATTGTAATATAATGTAATGTCAACCCTGGATTAATAAACCCCTAGGCTGTTTAATTGGGAGGGTACCATTTAAGTATTAGATTATGACTATTGGAGGAGTACCCCCCTAATTAATAAACCATGGTTTATTAATCCGGGGTTGACATTAATATATATATATAAAACTTAAAACCCGGGTGGTGAGGCATTCTAACTGAATGATTTTTTGCCGTGCGCGTGCCGCATTCTAACTGAGGGGGAGGAATATTTGGAATTTTCGGAGGCATTCTAACTTTCATTTTAACGGTATATCAATATATATATATACTTATATGTGATATAATATCATATCCATAGTTTGCAAGCGCAAGCTCCTTTGCGCTTGTGAAAACCGTTCATGGTTTCTCCGGAAGATGGACTGTGGCTCACAGGATTTGAAGCCGCTTCACCGCAACCCTTGGGCCATCTGGATTGCTTCGGCGCACTTGTGTTTCTGGAGAGTCTTTGAGCCACCTCGTTTCAGAGTGAACCAAACCCTTCATGCATATCATTTGAGCACACATGCCAGTCTTTTTCCAATCGTTTAGGAACCATGTAGGGCTGTGGGTCGGAACTGCACCATGCAGCCATGGAGCATCATTTCGGTGCCTTGCTTGCAGTCCGTTGAAGGGTATGGGGCGTTCGCCATGAGAAGTTTGGCATATTTGAGAAAAAACACTGTGAGCTGTTTGGACCTTTTATTGTTCCATTTTACATCATTGATCATTGGACTGCTCATCCAACTAAGTATGTAGAAACAAGAGCTCTGCCCTATTCAGCGATGGAACAAGGTTGAATCCTTTCAGTTTTGTACATTGTACATTCAAAATGTTCAAGCCCTCATTTCCACCAGGTGCAGTGCTATGGGTCAAAAGCTGGAGCAAAGGCCAGGGCGGTGTTCCAACCTTGTACTGTGCACTGGTGGGTGTGTAGATTGTGTAGCTCCAAGCAGAGAATAGCAGAGAAGATGGAGAAGTTAAGGTGGAAATTGGGTCCATCGTCCGGATCTGCAGTCGTCGGGCTCAAGGTCTTTGCAAAGCTCCTACGTTTGCGTGGCTAATTGCGATTTATGACAAAGTTCTTTGAAATTTGCAGAAATTGCAGTTTGAATCCGAAACACAAGGTTGTGCGGGAACAGTGGTAGATTTCACAAGGCATTTTGCATGAAATGTAGGTTGAACCATGAACAGACCAGAGGGTTTGAGTTGGTTTTCGTGGGTCGCTCAGCTCGGCAGTATCTCTGACAGTGCCATGGATTGGCTTTGGGGATCGGCCACAGCGGCCACAGATGTCGGGACACAATGCTTACAGTCCACCGGAACAGTGGGGACACAATGCTTTCCGCCCAGTCTGGAATCTGCAGCACGGATGGTGGGCGAACAAAGGTATGATGAAGCATACGGCAGTGTTATGGAACATGTCAAGGTGTTTGAATTGGCCAAGGGATTCTCTTTGTTGGCAAAATGCGCATATGAACTTGGCAGGTATGAAGAGGTGCCTGATTTGGTGGCTTCAAGCATTGCTCATCTTGGGCCCGAGCAGGAGCATGTCTTGCATTTGGCAGGATTGGCATTCTTGAAGATGGACAGATGTGAGGAGGCATATCTTAGTCTGCGGCGCGCCTTGCAGTTGCGGCCAACTTGTGCCAAGATACATGGAGCACTTAAAGATGTAGCGGAGAAGATGCAAGCACAGAGTCAGGAAATGATTGTGCCGTACTTGTGGCAATATCAAGAGCAGGATGGCAGTTGGAGTGATATGCCTTTGGCACTTTGTGAGAAGCTAGAGAGTGCATTTGCAAACTATCAGGCGGCGCCGCAATCTGCATTGCTTAAAATGCACGGGAGGGAGTTCGACTTTGGCACCATGCGGCAGCGAAATGTTGCCAGCGGACGGTGGAGAAGTGTGCGGAGGCAGTGTGTGGCCGCCATGGTGAACGCTGGCAGCATCACTGCACAAATGCTTCAGCATTGCTTGTCACAGACGGTGGCATCACGACAAGCCATTGCAGCAGCGGAAGATGTTCGCGAGAAGCTGGGCTGTCAGCTAGACCTGCTTGCAAGGCAGGAACCCGCTTTGATGAAAACGAGTGGTGACCTGAACGTGCACAAAGCTTCCTTGAACCAGTGGCAGAAAGAATTGCAGATCAAGGAGGCATCAGTCAAAGAGTTGCAGAAAAACATTGAAGGGCAAGAAGCAGCAATAAAGGAGGAGGAGACTCGCCTGAAATTGAAGCTAAAGGCTCTGCGACTGCGGGAAACATCATTGGAACAGAGAATTAATGAAGAAATTGAGGCCCGTATGGCTGAACTCGAGGCAAAACTTCGGAACCGGACTTTGAAGATAGCCGCTGCTAACTTGGGTTTGGATGACCCTAAGGGAAGCTTGCCGGCCATCATTTTCGGGCAAAGGCAAGAGATCGAGTTTTGGCGCTCAGGAAATCCATGCCAAGATAAGGTGCTCTTGTATCGCTTGGGTTGCGGTCAGGCGATGTTCCTGCAAGATGGGACACTTGTGGAGCCTATGCAGCAGCTGCTTCTGGGCACAGCAGAACCACACAACAAGCCGTTCAACGGGAAAGTCAGCATATGCCAACAGATGTCTGGTGTCCAAGTGCATCGAGTGCTGCGAGTGGTGAATCCCGCGCTTTGGCGGGCTTACTGGGAGCGGAAGGCCAAATTAAGGGGGGGCCGCAGTGGCAGAATCCAGCCCTTGCCGAAAACACAGGAAATGAAGCACTTGGAAACAATCGCGTTTGAAGTCGCCCCGGACCAGAAGACGCTTGGAGCAACTTACTGGATTTACGTTGACACGCGTGTAAATGAGATGTTGTTGTTTCATGGAACCTCTGCCACAAATGCAGAATCGATTGCAACTAATGGCTTCGATTTAAGCCGTGTCCGCCAGGGGCTCTATGGCAACGGTTTCTACTTTTCATGTGAGGCATGCAAGTCGTTCCAATACACCACCCTCGACACTGCGCAATCTGAACGCTGCATCATTGTTGCACGGGTTCTCCTTGGCAATCCCAAATATGCTCAAAGCGCATTGAAAGGCCCCCGGATCTTGGCAGACAATGAGAACTCAGTCGTGGTGTTACCTCAGAATGTCCCAGGGCAAGACCACCATGAGTTTGTCGTGTTTGATTCCAAGCAGATCTTTCCAGAATTCATTGTGTATTTCGCGTAAGATGTTGGCCTAAGTATGATACGACGGAGCTGCTGGGACAAGAAAAGATTTCTGTGGCTCACTGCACAGTCTCCATAAGTGCTTGAAGGATCTTGTGAGATTTTATTTTTATTTTATACAAACAATAACAAACTGCCAGCTTTGAAGCTGCTGGTCTATTCATTTGCGAATTATACTATGTTTCAGAAAGTTTCAGGCCCGGTTTTGCCGTGCCTTGGTCGTACTTGTGTAGGCGCCGACGCTGACCTTTTGAGGACGGCATCTCCGGGTGCTCAACCATTGCCGCTCAAGGTTGGCGCCGTTTTTTAAAGTTTTGTGCCGACGATGCTGTCCCAATCACATGTTGTTGCAAGATGAACAGGTTCGTATGAAAGCTTGAGGAACTGATGTGGTTTTGAAGTTGGTCGAAGTTTCTGTCCTGCGAAGTGACTTGAGTCTCACCGGTCTACCACGGTTGTCAGAACAAAGAAAGACACGCAGCTGCACCTAGAACCTGCGGCTTGACGCAATTTCATGAATTATGTTGCAAAGTGATCTACATGACATTGGTTACTTCATGTTTTTCTATTTTATTAACTCCATTCACTATCCCCGTCGTCGATGGGGACATGTTTATATGGTCACTGCTTGCAAAGCTGATGTTGAGCTCTATGTATGACGCAATAGCTCATCGCAGGTGTAAGATGCAAGACCTTGTTGAGACATGTTGGGCCATGTTAAGCCCTGTCGAGACCATGTGCCAGAAAACATGGCAGAGGAGGAAACAGTCTTGCTGCTGTAAGACCGGAAAGATCCGATTTGATGAGCCTGAGTCTCTACGCATGATTGGGGTTTGCAAGCATCTTATGTTATATGTTGTTGAAATATGTTGAAATTCTTTTTACACATTTAGTGCTTTCTTTCCACTAGAGGGAGTCCAAGGGAGGTCATCAGTTTTGCCCGACCAGATTGGGAGTGGCAACACATGGTTCTCTTGAAGGGAACAAAATAGAACAAGTATGAACAAGTCTCACTTGGCAAGCCTGGCAACTGCTGCAGTTGTCAGAACAAGATGCGTGCCGCTGTAGCAGAAGCGTTTGCGACTTGATCTACAAGTGTTTCCGTGTTTGGGGCTTTGATGAGCTTCAAAATCAAATCAATGCTATTAGGCAGCACATGCTGTATTTGATCATTTTGTGGTTTGAAAGGCTCAAAGACAATGGACACCACATGACACGACATGACCAACCGCTTAAGCTGATAAGTCGACGTATGGCAAGGCCGAAGAATAGACAAAGATATAGTTCAGATTACCAAAGGCAGGTGTAAGATGTAAGACAACATGAGACCCTTCACCTATCTTTACCTCAAAAATCCTTCATGCAGTCGCCTTGTAGTTGTAACTCACCGCCATTGAAGATATCGCAACAATTCGCAGGAGGATCAACGAAAGGTCCGAACGGACTGACTTTGCAACTCTGGGACCCTGGGCTGATGCCGGTCTGTCCGTCCAGACATGCCACATGGCTGAGCTGTTCCTCGCCATTGTGGCCTATGATGCCCAGGAGACGAAGCCGGAAGCTGAGTTGTTTTGTTTCCTTTTTAAATTGTTGTTGGGTGATACTGCCTGGGATATGTTTACTGTGTATATTACATTTGTAGATCAGAATGTGTGGAACTCTATGTTATCACGTTATGTACACCGTATGCCGTATGCCGTATACCTAGCATTCTATATATATATATAACACCTTAAAGTATGGGTTAGGTACGGGTTAGGTACGGGTTGGGTACAGGTTAAGCATAGTTTGAATATCAATACCCGACGTCTTCAATCGAAAACCGATGTTTTCTGATTTATCCCAAAAGCATCTCCGATGCTTGGGTTCTCGTTTAGTGGGAGCGATACGGAAGCCACGAGAGGGTGGACGGAGGGGAAACCGTGGGAAATAGCTTGGGGAGAGCCCAATTGGGAGTGAGCGAGACGGAAGCACCGACAGGGTGGACGGACGGGAAACCATGGGAAATACTGTGGGGAGAGCTCCGTTGGGAAGGAGCGAGATGGAACCGTGGGAATTAGCTTGGGGAGAGCTCCGTTGGGAGGGAGCGAGACGGAAGCGACGACAGGGTGGACGGACGCGAAACCGTGGGAAATAGCTTGGGGAGAGCTTGGGAGAGCTCCGTTGGGAGGAAGCGACATACTGAGAAGCAGAGCTGCTGGCATGGGGTTTCAGGACAAATTCCATCAATGCGATTGTCCCGCGAAACTGCGCGCCCAAGACCAAGACTTTTCAAGTGGTTTGAAAACATTGGGCGGTCGGGCATGCGCAGCTTCGTTGGCAGGGAGCGGCACTAAAAATGCACAGCCGTTGGCACGGGTTTTTTCAGGAAAAAAAACATCAATACGATTGTTCCGAAAAACTGCGTGCCCAAGACCTGCCAAAGTTTCCAAACCTTGGCCATGGGAGATGTATAGCTTCGTTGGCAGGGAGCGAGACTAAAAGAGCAGAGCTGTTGGCAGGGATTTTTCAGGACAAATTCCATCAACACGATTGTCCCGAAAAACTGGTGCCGAAGACTTCTCAAACGGTGTCTAGCCTAAACGCTGGACAAAGGGACATGCCGGACATGCATGGAAAAAAGTTCTTTGCTGGAGGGGTTTTCATTTTGCTCGGCGTTCTGTCCGCCGATGGTTGGTTTTCGCTCCTTTTGCAGCGAAGCAAACTATGCATTAGCGTGAACGGACAGGTAGGGAAATAGCTTGGGAAGAGCTCTGCTGGGAAGGAGTGGCGCTGAAAATGCGGAGCGGAGCTGTTGGCACGGGTTTTACACAGAGCAGTTTTTACAGAGGAGCTTTACACAGAGGAGCTTTACATGAAGGATCTTTTACACAGAGAAGCTTGTACACACGGAGGGCTTTACACACAGAGTCTTTTACACAGAGAAACTTTTAATGCCAACATCGGATTAATCAACCCCCCCCTGGTAGGTAGGGGGATACCTTCTGGCTAGTTTCTTGACCACCCCTTAATAGTAAGCAACTCTGAACCATAAAAATTTGGATATGGCTTACGTCAATTAGATCTTAATTGAATTCTATTGGATTTGTTAAAATCTCATGGATCAGAAAGGTGGTTGATTAATCGGGGGCAAACCATGGTTATTATTAATGGGGGACATGGGCTCATGGGGGGTACCCTTTGGGAGCTATCCAAACTGATGATTTTTATAAAGATTTTAATTAGAAATCGATCATTTGGGGAATAGTCATTTTTTGAATTTTTCAATGATCAACTTAAACCTTAAGTATAACAATGATGATTAAACAAAAAGGTAAAAACAAATTGGAAATAAATAGAATTGGAAATAAAAATAGTTGGATAAAAAATTGATTTCAGCACAGGGGGTTGATTAATACCGCGGGTTTATTAATCCTGGGGGACCACCTCTTTTTAAATTACAAAAAAAAAATTGGGCAGAGGGGGTTGATTAATACCGCGGGGATTATTAATCCTATGTTGGCATTACACAGGAAAGGTTTTACACACAGAAGCTTTTACACAGGGAAGTCCTTATACAGAGTAGTCTTGACACAGAGAAGCTTGCACAAACAGAGGCTTTTACACAGAGAAGCCTTTTACACAGAGCAGCTTTTACACAAAGGAGCTTTTGCACGGAAAAGCTTGTACACGCAGAGGCTTTGACTCAGAGAAGTCTTTACACAGAGGAGCTTTTACACAGCGAAGCTCGCACACACAGAGGAGCTTTTAGACACAGACGCTTTTACACAAAGAAACTTTTACACAGAGCAGCTTTTACACACAGAAACGTTTACACTTTACACACAGAGGAGCTTTACACACAGAAGCTTTGAAGCTTTTAAACACAGAAGATTTCACACGGGAAAGCCTTTACAAATCTTTACACAGAGAAGCTCTTACACACAGAAGTTTTTACACAAAAAAGCGTTTACACAGAAACTTTTTCGCACAGAAGCTTTGACACACAGACGCGTTTACACAGGAGTGTTTACACACGGATGCGTTTAATTACACACATGGCAGAAGCCTCCACGCACAGAAGCTCTTACGCAGAGTAGCCTTTACACAGAGAAGTCTTTACACAGAGAAGTCTTGAGAAGCTTGTACACACAGAGGCTTTCAGAGAGAAGTCTTTTACACAGAGAAGTCTTTACACAGAGGAGGTCCTTCTTACACAACGGAGATTTACACACAGACGCGTTTACACACAGGAGGTTTTACACACAGAAGCGTTTACGGCGCACTGAAACTTATACACAGGGCAGCTTTGAGACATCAGAAGCTTTTACACAAAAAAAAATTGCACAAGGAAGCTTTTACCCAGGAAAGCTTTTACACACAGAAGCTTTTACACAGAGAAACTTTTTCACCGAGAAGTCTTACATAGAGAAGCTTTTACGCGCAGACGGGTTTGCACAGATAAGTCTTTACACAGACGAGTTTTTGCACACAAAGTTTTTTACACAAAAAACGTTTACGCACAGAGGAAACTTACACGCAGAAGCTTCTGCACGGGAAAGCCTTTACACAGAAACTTTGACACACAGACGAGTTTACACAGAGGAGTCTTGACACAAGGAAGCGTTTACACACAGAAGCCTTTACGCACAGAAGCTTTTTTTGCACAGAGTAGCTTTTACACAGAGAAGTCTTTACACAGAGAAGTCTTGACACAGAGAAGTCTTGACACAGAGAAGCCTGTACACACAGAGGCTTTTACAGAGAGAAGCCTTTACACAGAGAAGTTTTTACACACAGGAGCTTTTGCACAAGGAAACTTTTACGCAGGAAAGCTTTTACACACAGAAGCTTTCACTCACATACAGAAGCTTTTTACACCGAGAAGTCTTAGTCTTACACAGATGAGCTTTTACACACAGACAAATTTACACAGAGGAGCTTTTGCACACAGAAGCCTTTTACGCACAGAACCTTCTGCACAGTAGCTTTTCCACGGAAAAGTCTCACACAGAGAACCTTTTACGCACAGATGCGTTTACACAGAGAAATCTTTACACGGAGGAGCTTCACGCACAGACGCGTTTAATCGCGTTTACACAGAGAAGGCTTTACACAGAGGAGTTTTTGCACGCAGAATCTTGTACACACAGACGCGTTCACACACACAGAAGGTTTTACAAACAGACAACTTTATGGGGCACAGAACTTTTACATAGAGCAGCTTTTACGCAGCGAAGCTTATACACACAGGGGAGCTTTTACACACAGAAGGTTTTACACAAAGATTTTTTTTATACACAGAAGCGTTTACACGCATAAACTTTTACACACAGAAGCTTTTACGCAAAAAAGCCTTTACACAAAGGAGCTTTTACACACAGACGGGTTTACACGGAGGAGTCTTTACACACGGAGGCGTTTAGACAGGGAAGCTTTTACACAGAGTAGTTTTTACACAGAGAAATCTGTACACAAAGAAGTCTTGAGACAGAGAAGCTTGCACACACAGAGGCTCGCAGAGGCTTTTACACAGAGCAGCCTTTTACACAGAGCAG